CTGCCAATGTCATTAATGAAGATACTAAACAACAATGGTCCCAGCACAAACCCCTGAGGGACACCACTCGTCACCTTCCTCCATCTGGACATCAAGCCATTGACCACCACTCTCTGGAGGTGACCATCCAGCCAGTTCTTTATCCACTGAACAGTCCAGCCACTGAACCCACAATTCCCCAGCTTAGAGATAAGGATGTTGTGGGGGACTGTGTCAAAGGCCTTGCTGAAGTCCAGGTAGATGATATTTATCTACTATATTTATCCAGATATTTATCTATTTCTAGTAAAGTATTCTTGCTAGCATCCCATCTGGTGCAGGGAGTTGTGGAGTCTCCTTTTCTGGAGGCTTTCAAAACTCACCTAGACACATTCCTGTGCAACCTGCTCTAGGTGAACCTGCTCGGATGGTTGGGCTAGATGATCTCCAGAGGTCCCTTCCAACCCCTACCATTGTGCAATTCAAACATTTTGCCATCATCTGCAGCCATAACTGATGGCTAGGGGCAGTTTCTGGGTTTGCTGGGTCCAGCAGGGAGCTGTTGGGGCATGACTGTGCCTTGCACCATATTCCCATTTCTCCCCACCCCACTCACTTCTAGATTGCAAATATTACCAAAGACAAAAAAAAAGGGAAACTGCTGAGTAGAATATGGCAGAAACAGCCTTGACACTTAGTTTCTCCACCAAAACTACTTTTAGACTAGCTGAGGAGCTTTCCAAGCTGTACATCCTAACCCTTGGTGCAAGCCTGTTGGTGCCTCACAGATGGACAGATAGCATTTCACTGCTAGAACTTTCTACTTATATGCAAATCACCTGCATGTCCAGTCCACAGGACACAAGGCTTTGAGGCCTCTGAGGTCGGAAGGCAACAGAGGAGCAGATGTTTGAATGTCTCAAGGCCCGTCTGACTTTCTTGCTCTCCAGGTCTATAACCTGTATGGTCCCCGAGTCATCTGCCGCAGCCAGGAAGCTGTCGCTCTCGTTCACTGAGAGGCAGTTGATCTCCTCCTCGTTCACGTGGAAGCTTTCAACGGGCTCCTTGAGGGATCTGACATCCAGCAAACTGATCGTTTCTCCGTGGGAGGAGTACAGCCTCGTGGGACGGAGGGGAGCGAAGACCAGAGAGGTCACATCGTCCGCCCCCGGGAGCTGGAGCCGTCCTGCCGGGGTGCCCCCCGCGTCCCAGAGCGTGAGCTCGCCTCCCTCTGCTCCTGAAGCCACCAGCCCCTCCGTGCTCACAGCCAAGCACAGGATCGAGGAGGAATGTCCACCCATCCATTTCACTGCCATCTTTCAGGGCCACCTCTGAAACAGAGAAGCAAACAGCAGCCCCTGAATTGACCCGTGTTAGGCTCATTACAGCAGAAAGCTCCCTGAAGCAACCACTCCAGCAGCCACCCCAACAGGCACCAATACAGAGCAGTGCCCAGAGGAAGCTCTGGCTCAAACTTGGACATCAAAACAGGGGCACGGTTCCTAATGGGACGTACTGGGAAGGAACAAGGGGAAGGTGGCAAACTGGTAAATCGACCTGCAGAGGAGTCACGTCGTTCAGGTTTGGGTGAGAGCACGTGTGGACATCGTTCACCTAGCTGCTGAGCAGTCAGTACTTGAGATGGATGTGTAAAGCAGTCTTGCAACACCCGGAGCAAGCAACTTGTGCTGGTGAGCGGGGTGAACTGATTAATGCTGAAAGCAACTGCCTTAAGTACAGTTTAAAAGCACACATTTGTGTGAATAAATTTGAAGCTATCGTACACGTTCCCGAAGCAAAGGTAATTTTCTTGCTGGGTGTCCCTGCCCTAGTTCCAGCACCGCGCTGCTGCCTTCGCGTCCGTGGGTGCATCTCGCTATGTGGCAATCAAGGAATTTCTTCGGGGCTTTTTTCTAACCCTCGTTACGCTTTGCACGCGGTTTTTGTTGAGCCGGTCC